CTGTGCCCCTTTTTGGTCATCTCTTCCCCGCACCCCCACCCCTACCCCGTGACAGCCACAGATCTAGTTAGCCATGTTGGTCTGACTTTTTGTAAGTGATGCTAAAAGCTAAGGCTCATCCTCGCCCACGCTACTATCCCTTGTACTTCTGATCTCTGAAATTAGGGTTGAGAAGAAAAGCGAAGAGTGAGGGAACGGTAGGAGTCAGGGGCTTGGGGGGCTTCGGGCAGGTTACCATGAAAGGTGGGGCAGGCAGAGCTTTTGGGGGGCGGCCACGTGTTCTGCGGAGAACCTGAGTGGAGTAGGCTTTACTTGGAGCGCGAAGGTGAGTCCTGCAGAGAGGAGACCCATTGCTTCCTGGGACACCAGGAGTTTAAGAGCCTGGACCACCCCTAGAAACAGGCCAAAATGGACAAGAAACACCTGGGCTGGCAGGGCGTTGGGGCAATGTGACATCCGGGACGATTTAGGCCTGGTGTGAGCCTGGGATGCTCTTCGGCTTCACCTGGACTCAGCAGCCTTGGCGAGAGGGTGCCCAGCCTTAGCTGCTGGGTAGCGTTTGCACCTGGGCCAACCCCTGCAAGGTGTGCAGGATCTCTGGTTCCTAATCCTCTGCCTGAGAGCAGCAGAGGAGAGAAAGGAGCAGGAACTTTGACAGGGACAGCAGCCTCCAGGGAGAACCTCCCTCTGGACAGCTCTGAGAGCTTTGCTCACTCGCCACCTCCAGAGGCCTGGTCTACCCACTGTCTTCTCCACATTATTTCCTGGACAATGGTGCCACCTAATGGGGAACAGTAATATCGCAGCACATTCGCGTCATGAAACATAACTCCCTTCCCTGCTCAATGTCGGACACTGCCACCACCCATGTGGGACTGTCGGCCAGGCCAGCTTCTGGTGAGACCAGACCCAACAGTACAGGGGCAGTCTGATTTTGTTATACTGGTACCTATTTTAAGATGGCCATAAATGGTGCCAGCGGGTGGTATAGTGGTTAGGGCACCAGACTACCACATGGTCAAGGGCAGTTCAAGTCCTGGTCCTGGCAGCCTGAAACTCATGCCAAGTATGTGTATGTACATGCCCAAAATCCCAGGAAGAGAAGGGATTGCAGTGTGGCCATCCCCTCTGGGGGGGATTTCTCACTTTCCTTCTTACTGTCTCTCTCTGCGGGGCATGTGTGCATGCATGTCCAAGACCCCGAGAGATTAGAGGAGAAGGGATGGCAGCATGGCCATCCCTCTGGGGGCTGATTTCTCACTTTTCCTCTCACTGTGTCTGCTTGTCTCTCTCTTTCTGGTGAGTGCATGCACCCTAAGACAAAAACCTCTTTAAAAATTATTTTAGGGACCAGCAGTTGGCATAATGGCTATGTCACTGGAATCCCATGTAGTCGACCACAGTTTGAGTCTTGGACCCGGTGGCTTAAACTCACTCTGGGCGTGTGTTTGTGCATGCCCAAGATCCAGAGAGGGGATTGTGGCGTGACGATCCCCCCTGGGGGATAATTTCTCACTTTCATTCTCTCTGTCTCTATCTTTCTGGCGAGCGCACACACCTGATAGCAAAAACTTAAAAAAAAAAATTTTTTTTAATAAAGGAGGTGAGACCAGCAGATGGCATAATGGTTATGTCACTGGACTCTCACTTAGTCGACCACAGTTCAAGTCCTGGACCCAGTGGCTTAACCCCACAGTAGGTGTGTGTGCATGTGTGCCCAAAAATCTCAGAAAGAGAATGGAGGAGAAAGGGTTATAGTATGGCCATCCCCTCGCCCCGGGAAGTGATTTCTTGCTTTCTTACTCTCTCTTTCTCTCCAATGAACGCACATGCCCAATAGCAGAAATCACTCTCTCTAAAAACAAAAAGGAAAAAATGAGGTGAACCGTCTTGATAACAGTGACTAGTTAGGAGGGTATAATTGTGTTTTTGAAATACTTTATGATCTAGTTTTATTTCTTTCTTAGAAAATGTATGGGCTAGCAGGTGGCCTGGAGGTTAAGACCCTGGATGCCACGTAGCCAATTGCTCATTGAGTCTCAGACCCGGTGGCTTGAAAATCATGCCTGATGTGTGTGCATGCATGCCCAAAATCCCAAGAGGAGGCTGGAGGAGAAGAGGTTATGGCCCCCTCTCCCTTTCTCTGTTTCTCTGTTTCTCTGGCCAGTACACGTGTCCTTTAGCAAACTTGAAAAAAAAAAAAAAAGTTAAGTGAACGGGTAAAAACATGAACAGAAGGTAATATTTTTCTTTTTTTAAGTCTTTTTCCATAGGACCCATGTGTTCACTGGAGCAAGACAAAGTGAGAAATCACCCACTAGATGGGATGGCCGTGTCACAGTCCCTTCTCCATTCTGTAAGGATTCTGGGCTGGGCTCGCAAGCACAAATGCCCAGCATGATTTTCAAGCTGCCATGTCTGGAATTTGAATCCTGGTCAGCCATATGGGAGTCCAGCGCCTTAACCACCATGCCATGTGCTGGCCCCAGAAAGCAATGTTTAAATGTAGATATTATGCAACATCAAATGAGCCCCCGGGAGGTGATAGGACATTGGTCCAACCATGGTTCCACCAGCAGGCCAGCCGTGTGCCAGCACCACCTAGTGGTTGTGGTGATAAACAGTCTGACTTCTGTCTGCCTCGCCTGCTGCAGGGAGACCTGGACAGTCGCGGGCACCAGGGTACCTAGGAAGTGCTCCGTGGGAGTTTGCATTATGAGCACCACGTGGGCAGCACATGAACGGAAAGAAAGGCTCGTGGAGTCCAAGAGAGGGCAGGTCCAAACGGGAAAACGGCCATTTGGAGTTGTAGCCCTTGGGCCACCTCTACATCATCGTCTTTTTCACAAATCTCTTCTTTTTAGCAGTGAGTTCTCTTACTGTCAGAAAATGAATGTTGGGACCAGCAGGTGGCATGGTAGTTAAGGCACTGGACTCCCACGTGGCAGATGCAGTTCACATCCAGACCTGGAGACTTGCTTTCTCACTTTCCCTCTGTCTGTCTCCCTCTGACTGGTGAGCGCACATGCCCTGTAGCAAATTTTTTAAAATAATAATAATAAATAAAATTCTGTGTTTTTTTAAAAATAATTTTTCATTTCACTTTATTTATTCATTCATTTATTTTAATTTGATGAAAGAGGAAGAGAAAGCAAGCCGCCCAGTCCAGAACTTGAACCGTGGTCAGCCATGTGGAAATGTCCAGCTTCTTAATCACCACGCCACCTGCTGGTCCCCCTGGTTTTGTTTTTTGGTTTTTGGGGTGTTTTTTTTTTTTTAACCTTAGAGCATGTGCACTTGCTAGAGAGACAGACGCAGTAAGAGGGAAAGTGAGAAGTCACCCCCCCAGGGGTGTGGTCATGCTGCAATCAATTCTTCATCCACATCTTTGGCACTTCACAAGCACACAAGCACACCTAGTGTGATTTTCAAGCCATGGGGTCCAGGACTCGAACCAAGGTCAGCCGTGTGGGAGTCCAGCAGTTTGGCTACTATGCCATCTGCTGGCTCAAATAATTCATGTTTAAAAAAAAGAAAATGAATGTCCTTTCTCTCTGACAGATTTAGAGAGGCAGGTAGTGAAAGAGAAAGCAGCCTGGTTTGCTAGAGCCGTGAAGTCCCGTGAGCACCGCCGGTCCTGCCCTCTGTGCTCTGTGTCCCAGGCACTCGCTTCATCCCTCTCAGCCCAGTTTTCTCATCTCTAAAGCGAAGGGAATCACGGCTTCTCCACTAGGTTATAGTAAGGGCCAGACATACCTACCCTCAGTTTGTAATGGAAGTGCTCAGGAAAATGTAGCGATTCGTACAACAATCATCGCGCCAGCCAGTAGCATGGTGGTTGGATCCCCCATGGCTGGCCTCATGGTTTGAGTCCTGGACCCGACAGCTGGAAAACACGCTGGGCACATGTACATATACGCCCAAATCCTTGTTTCTTTATTTTCCTTCCTTCCTTTCTTCTTTTCTTTCTTTCTTTCTTTCTTAAGAGATTTTAGCCTTAGGGCATGTGTACTCGCCAGGGAGAGAGGGAGTGAGAGGGAAAGTAAGAAGTCATCCCGCAGGGCAATGGCCATGCCACACTCCCTTCTCCATTCTCCTCCTGGGGCCTTGGGCATGGATGCACATGCGCCCAGCATGATTTTCAAGTCACCTCGTACAGTACTCGAACTGCAGTTGGCCATGTGGGAGCCCAGCAACATAACCACTATGCCATCTGCTGCCCCCTGTGTGCCCAAGAGAAGAATAGAGAAGAGGGATTACTGCACAGCCATATCCCCTCGAGGGTGCTTTCTCACTGTCTGTCTCCCTGGTGAGTGCACATGCCCTATAGCAATGTATAAATAATAATAATAAAGAGTTTGATGCTGAGCAGATGAGGTGAAAACAATTTAAAAATCAATTTGATTTACCAATTCCAGGATGCACAGCTCTGAAATCGACAGGCATCCATAACATGCCAGAGTCTTTTCTTAGTCGTCACAGAAAATAACAATCCTCCTTACGTTTATGTTGTTTTAATAAAATGCGGCCGGTCAGCAGAGTGTTGAGTGCACTGAGAGAAGAGCCAAGTGCCCTTGGGCTGTGTCTGTAAATCCTGACGTGAAAGCTGCCAGTCGGAGGGCCGATGCTACGATTTCCCCCACTCCCTTCTCAGTGTTGGCCCCGGGAGCTGTTTTTATGACGTTTATTTGGAAAGTGTGCACTGGACCTTTTCTAGCTCGCTGAGATTGCCCAGCCCGCCCGTAACTCAGTGGGGCCGCTTCGCACCGCTCGGACGTGTGAAGTGAACCGTGTGGGTCTGGGAAAGGGGCTGTGGTAGGGGTGGGGTAATCCCTTCTGTAATTTTCACTTCCTGCTCTGCTGCAGAGGCCGCCGTCGGGTCTGCTGGGCAGTTCGGAGGAGTCAGTGAGCTGCGGCATGGAAAATACCTGGCCCGTATCCCACCCAGCAGATAACAGCTGGTGGGTGCTCCTTCTCCCAGCCTCTTTCCTCTCTTGCAGTCCAACAAAGTTCCCGTGGTTCAGCACCCGCATCACATGCACCCGTTGACTCCGCTCATCACCTACAGCAACGACCACTTCTCCCCCGGCTCCCCTCCCACACACCTCTCCCCAGAGATCGATCCAAAGACAGGTGAGCCGAGGCTGCTCAGGCCGCGCTCCTGCAGGGTGGGCCAGCCCTTCCTGGAGCAGGGCAGGGGCGGAGGGGTGTGTAACTCAGGACGAGGCTGGCAGGCCGGGGTGCAAAGCAGAGCCTGCCAGCCGTGCTCACTGCCTTCAGCCTTTTCAGTTCCCCTCACCTCCCCCCCACCCCCTGTGCCTCCTTGTTCCTACGCCCCAGGTCCTCCTGAGGACTAAAGGGGACTAAAGGAGAAATCGCATGGGCGGGCCTCCACCGAGCTCTGTCAGTCTAGCCCAGCTGGGGGTCTTCCCTCCCTACACCCAGACCTTGGCCCTAAATGGAATACCCTGAACTCGAGTCATCGGTCTAGCCAGATGTACACTTTCACTATAAAGCAGTAAGGTCAAGCAGGCGCTTTTATTTATTTATTTTTTAATCTCAGCCTCCAGACATGTTCCTCCCAGGGTGCCACAATCCAGACTGTTGCCCCACAGAGCTGGGGTGGCCCAGAGCAGTTGGGAAGGTCCTCTGTGGAGAAGTGACAGTTACTACACGTCTCTGCTAATGAGAAGCAGCCACGGGGGCTAGAAACCCCATGAGTGAGGCTGGTTTTCTCGAAAGTCCGTTAAAGGATGACTCGGAGGGTAGGGCTCTGTCGGGGATTTCCTGTCCCCCTCTTCCAAGAAAGACACCGGCTCTTATATGACGTGGGAGTAACCCCCCCATGGGGGTGGGATCCACATAGCCAGAGCGAAGACGCCTTGGGCCTCCTTTCCCTGAATGCAAGAGGACTTCAGAAAGTTACTGGAAGATGGAATGAAACCATGAGTTATTTCAAGGCAGGCAGTTTTGAAATCCACGGGTAGTTATTTTCATCAGATGGATTTTCCACGAGTTTTTTCTTTTCTTTTTTTTTTGGAAGAGGTTTTTGCTATAGGGCGCCTGTGCTCGCCAGACAGACAGAGAGAGATGGAGACAGAAAGTGAGAAATCACCCCCCAGGGGGGATGGCCACACCGCAATCCCTTCTCCGTTCTCCTCTCGGGATCTTGGGCACGCACGCACACACGCTCGGCGTTAGTTTTAAGCCACCAGGTCTGGGACGTGAACTGCAGTCGACTACGTGGGAGTCCAGCAACATAGCCATTACGCTAACTGCTGGTCCCTCCACGAGCTTTTTTGAACACCCCTTGCATGTCCTCAGGCTCCAGGATACCTGAGGATATGGTAGGGCAGGGGACATCTCCCACTGGACTTACTTAAAGGCTAAGGCAGTGTGAGGGAGCAGACTGACACCCCTCTCTTTGGAAGCAGGAATCCCCCGGCCCCCGCACCCATCGGAGCTGTCGCCGTATTACCCACTATCTCCTGGAGCGGTCGGACAGATCCCCCATCCCCTCGGCTGGCTCGTCCCACAGTAAGGAAACAGCCTCTCCCACCCTGTCCTTCCTGGAGCCCAGCGCTACTTCTGTTTCCCTGGCCTGCCCTCCACCATGGAGCCTCCTCCTGGCACCCGCCCAGCCAGCTTCCCTGCCCGCCCCCGCTCTCCTGTCCCGTGTCCCTCCTGCCTCCCACCCTGTCTCTCCCCTCCTTCCCCGCCCTGCGCCCTCCCATTGTACTGACCAGACTTCTTATTCTTGGCCCCCCCAGGCAAGGACAGCCCATGTACTCGCTTCCTCCTGGCGGCTTCCGGCACCCCTACCCAGCCCTCGCCATGAACGCCTCCATGTCCAGGTGCGTCCTGGGATGGGCGCCCTGAGCGTGGCGGGCGTGTCGTCTGGGGCAGGTTGTCTGCTGAGGCTGCATCTCTGCCCGCCAGCCAGCCCTCTGTTAATGAGGAGGTGCAGGGCTGGGCCCTTCCCCGCCGCTCCCGGGTAAGGTGCCTTCTGTCCAAGCCACAGGCTCACTCTTGTCACTCTGCAAGAATTTCAGAGGCTCCGCATGCTGCCCTCCCGCGGTCCCCACCGCGTGCCGAGCTCTGGCAGGCGCTCTGAGTGCATCAGTGAAACTGGAGCCTGGGAGAAGCTGAACTTTTCCTGAGATCACATCAGGAGAGGAGACAGGGAAGGGATTTCTGACTCAGGGCCAGCTCTGCCTGGCAGTGGGACCTCCAGTGACAGTGGAAATGCAGCCCTCAGCATGAGCCCCACTGTCCTCACTGTCCCCCGTGTCCTGGCTCCCCACCCTTTTCTTATTAAAAAAAAAAATTGTATTTTATTTAACTTTATTTGTTTGTTTATTTTAATTTGACCAGAGAGAGAGAGAGAGGGAAGGGGGAAGTGAGAAAGCAAGCTCCCAGGTCCAGGACTCGAACTGTGGTTGGCCATGTGGGTGTCCAGTGCCCTTAACCAACGCACCACCTTCCAGCCCAGGCCTCTGCTCCCTTCATCCCTCCTACTTCCAGCACCAGAGACAGACACCCTCTGCATTTCGTTAGGTGTTTTTTTCCAAACCTGCTTCTCCAGAGCACCCCAAGTGACCTCCACTGCCCGGGAGAGGTGCTGACATGCCTCTGCCCTCGAGGCCGGGAGCCACCTGTCCTCTCTGGGTGGCCGGCATCCTGAGTCCCTCTGTTGTCACTTGCTCCCGCCCACACAGCCTGGTCTCCAGTCGGTTCTCCCCGCACATGGTGGCCCCTGCTCATCCTGGTCTGCCCACCTCAGGGATCCCCCACCCCGCCATCGTCTCTCCCATCGTCAAGCAGGAGCCGGCCCCGCCCAGCTTGAGCCCCGCGGTGAGCGCGTAAGTAAGAGGAAGCCTGGAGCGGGGTGAGCAGGTGCCCTGTGAGCTGCAGGTCAGGCAAGGGCATGGCCAGTCTCCGAGCAGCAGAGGCCGCGTATTCTCCCCTGGTGCCCTGTGGCAGGCCCAGCTGCCGCCCTTTGCCAGGTCCTCTCCTTGGAAATGGCGCCCTTGGCTCTGTCCCTGTTCAGACCCTGTGCGTCTTCTCACTCAGGAACGGTTTCTATTCAGGCTCTAGAGGCTGACAGGGAACCTGATGAAGCTTTAGGGTCCCCTCCCTACCCTGTGGCACACCTGCAGAGGGGTCCCCAGAAAGGACAGAGAATGTCCTCCAGGCCATGAGGAGAGCTGGCAGCTGAGCCCGGGGCCCCTACATTGTCCACTGTGCTAAAGACGCAGGCCAGGGCCTCGAGGCTGCGGAGCCTCTGTTCCTGCTGGGAGCACCCTGCTTCCTCTTTGTCCCCTATGGCATTGCCCCAGCTCTCCTGTGGCTCCTGCCAGGGAGGCATCAGGTGGATTTTTTGAGACTCGGTATCGAGGTAGGTGGGAGGCTGGGAACTCCCTGAGGAAGATGCCCAGGTGCTGAACGCTGCCAAAGGCAGCCTCTGATAGCCTCACTGAGAGGCGGGACGGGTGAGCTAGGTGACAGCCGCCACCTGCCAACCCACGCCGTGCCCCATCCCAGGAAATCACCAGTCACCGTGAAAAAGGAGGAAGAAAAGAAGCCCCATGTGAAGAAGCCCCTCAATGCCTTCATGTTGTATATGAAGGAGATGCGGGCCAAGGTGGTGGCCGAGTGCACCCTGAAGGAAAGCGCAGCCATTAACCAAATCCTGGGAAGAAAGGTAAGGCCCGCCCTCCCCCGGCTGCTCGGCTCAGCTTCCCTGCACTGACCGCCCCGTCCTCTCTGTCCCTCTTTGCAGTGGCACAACCTGTCTCGAGAAGAACAGGCCAAGTACTACGAGCTGGCCCGGAAGGAGCGGCAGCTTCACTCCCAGCTCTACCCAACCTGGTCTGCCCGGGACAACTACGTAAGTGCCGCTCTGAGGCCAGGGAGAAGTGCCTATGTCTGGAGAAATAAGAAGGCCACTTGAAGGACCAGGAGGTGGCATGGTGATTAAGGCGCTGGACACTCCCACATGGCTGAGTGCAGTTCGAATCCTGGACCTGGTGGCTTGTTTTCTCACTTTCCCTCTTTCTCTCAATCAACTCTGTGGTCAACTTAAAATGAATGAATAAATAAGATTTTTAAAAAATTTTAAAACAAATTTTAAAAAAGGCAAGTTATTTGTTTTTTTTTGAGAGTTTTTCACTATAGGGCGCGTGCGCTCGCCAGACAGACAGAGAGAGACATAGAGACAGAAAGCGAGAAATCACCCCCCAGAGGGGATGGTCACGCCGCAATCCCTTCTCCTCCATTCTCCTCTCGGGATCTTGGGCACGCACGCACACGCGCTCGGCGTGAGTTTTAAGCCACCGGGTCCGGGATGCAAACCGCGGTCGACTGCGTGGGAGTCCAGCAACATAGCCATTATGCTAACTGCTGGTTCCCAAAAGGCAAGTCATTTTAATCTTAGAGGGTCAATGAGCTATTCTCAGAACTTTTTTTTTTTTTAGACTTTTTGACATAGGACGCATGTACTTGCCAGAGAGAGAGAGAGACAGTGAGAGGGAAAGTGAGAGATCACCCCCTCTGGGGTGTTGGGCACGTTCCCGCACATGCCCAGTGTGATTTTCAAGTTACCAATTCTGGGACTTGAACCACTGTCAGCCATGGGGAATCCAGTGACATAGCCGCTATGCCATTGGCTGGGTTCCCTGACACAAGGCGTGATGCTAGCTCTGGTGGTGATAGTGTCTCAAGCCACATTTTCCTTTCTTAAGGGCTCAAAGACCAGTGTCTATAAACTCCATGGAACTAGGCAGATTTTTCTAGGTTTCTTTCTCCCTCCCTTTCTTTCTTTTCTTTCTTATCTTTCTTTTGAAGAAGTTTCATAGCTACAGCACATATTTCAGTGGGACCTGAGTTTCCTCAAAGAAAGATCAAGAACTGGGACCAGCAGATGGCATAATGGTTACATCGCTGGACTTCCATGTAGTCCACCGTGGTTCTAATCCCAGACCCAGCGGCTTAAAGCTTGTACCAGGCCCATGTGCGTTCCTGCCCAAAAACCCGAGAGAATGGAGAAGGGATTGTGGTGTGGCCACCCCCCTGCAGGGAGTGATTTCTCGCTTTCTGTCTTCCTGTCTCTGTCTCTCTGACGAATGCATGTGCCCTATAGCAAAAATCTCTTTAAAAAAGCTCAAGAATCACTATTCTGGGCCTGCCCTGCAGCACACAGTTTCGTGCTATGCATATGGGGCCAGACCCCACATGGCTGACCACAGTTCTAATCCCAGCCCTAGAAGTTCAATAAATGCTGGTGTGTCTGTGTTGCTTGTCCTAAATGCCAACAGAATGGAGAAGTGGAAGAGAAGAGGTTGGGGTATAATTGCACCCCGTTAGATTGTTCTCTCTCTCTTGTGCACCCACCCATTGACAATTTAAGGTGTAGGGGAGGTGAAGAACCACTATTCTAAGGAGAGAAATGGAAAAACAAGCCTGAAAGTCAGTGGAAGGATGAGACCTTCCAAGAAGACCAGACACCTGAAGTGTGGGGGAAGAGCTATCTTGGGGCCAGACAGCCGGGCTCCTCTCCTCCTCGTAGGGCTCCTGGGGAATGTGGTCTGAGACGGCTGCCTCCCTGCAGCCCCCTCACCCGGGGAGACTGACAGCAGTAGGGACAGCATCCTGTCATCCCCCCGACAGGCCGGTATCACTGTCTCCCTCCTTACCTCTTCTTTGGGCCATGCTTTCAGGGTAAGAAAAAGAAGAGGAAGAGAGAGAAGCAGCTATCGCAGACACAGTCCCAGCAGCAAGTCCAAGACGCAGAGGGTGAGTGGTGGGGAGTCCTGGCCCCATGCTCCTCTAGCATGCTGTCAGCTCCACCTGCCTCTGGGGCTCCCTGGGCTCTCCTGGGTCAATGCTGTCTTCCCACAGCTGCCATTTTCAGCGCTTCTGCTTCCGAGCAGCCTCGCCTTTACTCCAGTGGGTGATGTGAGTACCTTTGCTTAGAGGTGGCCAGTGAGAAGGCCCAGAGAAGTCAGGGGGTCTCCCTACTCACTCTGCTTGGTTACGTGGTAGTGGTGGGTTTGATCCCAGGGCTTTGTCACTTCAAAGCGTAGGCACTTTCCAATTCAGTTAAGTTACTAGCTACTTGAGGATGAAGGGAATGAGGTTGACACTATCCTTGAGGTTTCTGTCTCTGAGTCCCACCTGCCGGTGAGTCTGATCGAGTCAGGCTTGCCTCTGGCGTGTCTTTAGTTGAACACCTGAAGAAATGGTAGGTCATCAGGAAAGTCTTGAGGCATTTTTGCATAGGAAAACATAGAAAAATACGTCATGACTTTCTCAGCGACCTAATAGTTGGCTGGGGCTAAGAGACCACTTTGTGCCAACACCCTGTGCTGTGCCTTGTTAGACCAGAACGTGCCGAGCAGGTGCTGAGGTCACACCCCCACTGAGCTCACTCTAGGACAAGGGCACCGTGCTTGCCCCTTCTCAAGTGCGTGCCATCGCCTCTGTCTTTCCCTGCTCTTGTATCCGTACGCTTTGCGTGTTCAGCTACACGGGAGTACACGTCGGTACATAGGATGCAGTGCAAACCCCCGCAGTACCATGCCACTTGGCGTGTGCACACTTGCCCCACTGTGCCACATGCCAGTGATTTTAAGGCAGATTGAGTGGAGAGATGGAGAAAGATGATGCGATAGGTTGAGCTCTTTTCCCTCCAGACAGATTGGCAGCTGGGGCCCGCCCCTCTCTGTGCGCTCCATGTTCTTCAGGCAGCATCCTCATGTGGGGAGCCTTGGGAGTGAGCTCCGCCATCACCGTCGGCGTCCCTGCCTTGCCAGCCGGGGCTCATCCTCAGCCTCTGCCCCACCCGGAGCTAAGAGCTGCTCACTCTTTCTCGTCCTTTCGCCCCCTAGGTGCTCTGGCCTCCAAGAGCAAGAAGCCATGTGTTCAGTACCTGCCCCCCGAGAAGCCCTGTGACAGCCCGGCCTCCTCCCACGGCAGCATGCTGGACTCCCCTGCCACCCCCTCCGCGGCCTTGGCCTCCCCGGCTGCCCCCGCCGCCACGCACTCGGAGCAAGCTCAGCCTCTCTCCCTCACCACCAAGCCAGAGACCCGGGCCCAGCTGGCTCTGCACTCCGCCGCCTTCCTGTCAGCCAAGGCTGCAGCCACCTCCTCTGGCCCGATGGGCGGCCAGCCCCCGCTCCTGTCCCGGCCCCTCCCTCTCGGGTCCGTGCCCGCCGCCCTGCTGACCTCTCCTCCTTCCTTCCCGGCCACGCTGCATGCCCACCAGGCCCTCCCGGTGCTCCAGGCCCAGCCTCTGTCCTTGGTCACCAAGTCTGCCCACTAAGCTGCCCCCTGACCTGTGCAGGCTGGCTGTGACTCCTCGAGTAGTAATGATTCAGAAGAAAAACAAGGAAACTTTATTGGTCAATATTTGACCCCTCTGGACTGTTCTATAAAGTGACTGGTAACAGCAGCACTTGACATTTTTGTAGATGTAACCAGTAGCTGATCTTAAGGCTTTTTTATAAAACAAAACAAAACAAGAAAAAAAAATATCTTTAAAAGACAGAGAACTGAAAAGTAGTGTGTTACCCCTCCTGTATGTGCTGTGGTGGCTGGCTCCGGGCAGAAGAGCCCTGTGCTCTCCCCTTTCCTCTGACTCTCGGCCCTGCTATCTGTCCCCCAGCCCCCAGCAGCCTTAGCGGCCCCCCTCGGCTACGCGTTTGCCAAGGCTATGAGTTCTATCTGGCTCCTCGGCCTCTGAGTGCCAGATGCATCCCAGATGTTGCCCATCACCTGCCCAAGTTCTCAGCAGTTACTCAGCAACGTGGGTTCTTCCCCTTGGACCAGCAAGGGGGTCCTCCTCTGCCCAGTTTAAGCTGTCCCCCGTGAGAAGACATCTTGGCCTGATTTCTTTTCATCAGCATCCCCCCACCTCAGTGGGCCTGAACCTGCCATCCTCCACCTTCCGGTGGAGAAAGTGGACCTCTGAATTGGTCACCCTGCCTTTAAAGGGACTCAAGGTGCCTGCCACTTCCTCAGTGAAGAAGTCTGTTCCTCCCCCACGTCAGTGGAGCGCCCCCCTCGCCACCCCAGAGTGGCGGACAGGCCCCCAGGCGTTGGCCCCCGCCCCTGGGTCAATGCTAGCACAATCTGCCAAAGTTCTGAGACCCCGCTCCCTCCCCCACCACCTCACATGCTTCTTCTGTGTGTATTTCTTTTTGTTTTTATGGTTTTTGGAGCCATTTTAACTCCCAGTTGTTTATTTTCACAAAAGAAAATAAAATTGCAGTTGCAAGACCTTTTCTGAGTGTTTCTTTAGTCTTTGAACCAAACCACCTTCATACCAAGCCCAGTGTTAGATGTTTGCAAACCTGCAAAAGGGGATTGATTGGCACTTGTTGGAGAGGAATACAAACCATGCCTGATGCGATTAGAAAAATCCAGCCCACCTCAATGGGCCAGTCAGTATTGATAGCTGAGAGCTGTAGAAAGGGTCTTTTTATTTTATAGTTGTTTTAATTTGTCGCCCAGAAGGTATTCTGCTTATGCTTTTGACACGGGTACAGATCACACCTTAAATTGTCAAGATGTGAGGGGCATCCTTTGTTCACTTTGCACATTTTTTTGTACTGGAAAACTGAAATTATGGGGTATTCTTGAAATCCATGTAGAGGACCAACAGATGGCATAATGGTTACATCCCTGGACTGCCACATAGTTGACTGTGGTCTAAGTCCCGGACCTGGTAACTTAAAACTCACGCTGGGAGGACCAGCAGTTAGCATAATGGCTATGTCACTGGACTCCCACGTAGTCGACCGTGGTTCGCGTCCCACTCACACCAGGCGCGTGTGCGTGTGTGCCCAAGATCCCGAGAGGATAATGGAGAAGGGATTGTGGCATGGTCATCCCCTCTGGGGGGGGGGGACCTGTTTTCTCGCTTTCTATCTCTCTGTCTCTCTCTTTCTGGCGAGCGCATGTGTCCTATAGCAAAAACCTCTCAAAAAAAAAAAGCTCACACTGGGCACAATTGTGTGCATACTCAAAATCCTGAGAGTAGAATGGAAGTGAAGGGATTGCAGTGTGGCCATCCCACCCCCGTGAGGGTGGTGATTTCTCACTTTCTATCTCTGTCTCTCCAACAAGTGCATGTACCCTATAGCAAAAATATCTCTCTCTTAAAGAAAGCAAAAGAAATCCATGTAGTTTGGGGTGCTTTCTTGCTTTAATCCTTCCGTGAGTAAGAGAGACAGACATGCATCCCCACCAGGAGCTTCATCCAGCCCCAGATCCCAGGCACACACATATCAATGTTCAGAGGTCCCTGGAAACGAACCTGAAACCTTCCCCTGCAGGTCAGCCTCCCAGAGCATTGCATTACTGCTTCACCACCATCTAGCCCTCCCATAGTTTTTTTTTTTTTTTTCTCACATTTTCTGAGCCCAGCCAATGGTGTAATGGCTATGTCACTGGACTCCCATGTAGTCGACCGTGGCTCAAGTCCCAGACTTGGTGGTTTAAACTCACGCTGGGCATATGTGCGTGCGTGCTCAAGATCCTGAGAGGAGAACGGAAGAGAAGGGATTGTGGTGTAGCCATCCCCCCTGGGGGGTGACTTCTTGTTTTCTGTCTCTCTGTCTCTGTCTTTCTGGCAAGTGCATGCACTCTATAGCAAAAAAAAAAACCTCTCCAAAATAAATAAATGAAGATACACATTTTCCATTATTTTTTTGAAGACCCCTTGTATAGTTTTTAGTATATTTGGAGTTGAGTATCCATTACCCAAGTTGCTTTGTTTTTACTGAAGGGTATGTGTGCTCACTGGGGAGACAGAAGCATCCCCAGGGGTTGGCCATGCCCCAGTCCCTTCTCTAGTCTCTGAATTTGGAGCACACGTGCACATGCACCCAGCAAGTCTTCCTCTTCTTTTTTTGAATTAGGTTTTTGCTGGAGAGAGAAACGGAGATAGAGGGAATGCGAGGCATCACCACTCTGTGGGGATGGCTACACCACAATCTCTTCAGTCTCTTCTCAAGGTACTGGGCATGCACCCACATGTGCCCAGTGTGATTTTCAAGACGCTGGGTCCAGGACCTGAATTGTGGTAGGCCACGTGGGAACCCAGAGTTTTACGCCCTACACCACTTGCTGCCCCCACCCCCAGCGTGATTTTCAAGCCGCTGGGTCGGGGGCTGATCACACAGTCGGCCACGTGGGTCCTGCTGCCTTCACCATGCCGCCCACTGACCCCGCACGGCCCATTGTAGAGCATTTTCGTCCCTCTTAAAAGAGTCCCAGGGGACCAGCAGTTAGCGTAATGGCTATGTCACCGGACTCCCACGTAGTCGACTGCGGTTCAAGTCCCAGACCCGGAGGCTTAAGCTCACACTGGGCACGTGTGTGTGCGTGCCCAAGGTCCCCAGAGGAGAATGGAGGAGAAGGGATTGTGGCATGGCCATCCCCCCTGGGGCGATTTCTCACTTTCTGTCTCTCTGTCTCTCTCTGTCTTTCTGGTGAGTGCCATTCATGGTAAAAAAAAAAAAAAAAACTCTCCAAAAAGAGTCCCAGTACACTTCGAAAAGCCGTCAGTGGCCTCGGTTCTTCCCTTCGCCTACCCTAGGCACCCCTAATCTACTCTCTTCTGTGAATTTGTCTACTCGGGATGTTTGTTTCATGAAATAGGAATAATGCGAGGTCTTCATCTCTGACTTCTTTCCCTCCGCATAATGGTTTTGAGTTTTCTCCATGTTGCACCATACATCTGTATTTCACTGGGTTTTTTTTAAATAATCTTTTTATTTTATTTTTTTGAGAGGTTTTTGCCATAGGGCGTTTGCGCTCGTCAGAAAGACAGTAATAGAGAAAGAACGTGATAAATCACCCCCTGGGGGGATGGCCACGCCACAATCACTTCTCCTCCATTCTCCTTGCGGCGTGGCCATCCCCCCTGGGGGATGATTTCTCGTTTTCTGTCTCTCTGTCTGTCTGGCGAGAGCATGCACTCTATAGCAACCCCACCCCCCAAAAAAAAAAAAAAAAAAAAAAAAAAAAAACTCTCCAAAAAGAGTCCCAGTACACTTCGAAAAGCCGTCAGTGGCCTCGGTTCTTCCCTTCGCCTACCCTAGGCACCCCTAATCTACTCTCTTCTGTGAATTTGTCTACTCGGGATGTTTGTTTCATGAAATAGGAATAATGCGAGGTCTTCATCTCTGACTTCTTTCCCTCCGCATAATGGTTTTGAGTTTTCTCCATGTTGCACCATACATCTGTATTTCACTGGTTTTTTTTTAAATAATCTTTTTATTTTATTTTTTTGAGAGGTTTTTGCCATAGGGCGTTTGCGCTCGTCAGAAAGACAGTAATAGAGAAAGAACGTGATAAATCACCCCCTGGGGGGATGGCCACGCCACAATCCCTTCTCCTCCATTCTCCTCCCGGGATCTTGGGCACGCATATACACGCGCCCAGCGTGAGTTTACACCACCAGGTCTGGGACTTGAGCCACAGTCGACTACATGGGAGTCCAGCAACATAGCCATTACGCTAATTGCTGGTCCCTAAATAATCATTTTAATAAACTTTATTTATTTGTTTTCATTTGACTAGAGAGGGACAGAGCGAGAGAGATAGAGAAAGCAAGCCGCCAGGTTCCGGGACTAGGGTCGGCCATGTGGGAGTCCAGCCCCTTAACCACCACACCACCTGCGGGCCCCACTGTTTTATGTTTTGTTAAGATAATAAAGTTTGCCACCTGGACCATTTTTGAGTGGTAGTACGTTCACAGTATTCTGCTACCAGTTTCCAGACCTGGCTCATTGTCCTTTATTTATTTTTTTTTAATTATTTTATATTTATTTATTTATTTAAATTTGACCAGAGAGACAGACACAGAGAGAAAGAAAGCTGCCAAGTTCGGGACTTGAACCACGGTCGGCCATATGGGAGTCCAGCACCCTTAAACACCACGCCACCTACTGGCCCCTGGCTCATTGTCCTTAACAGAAACTGCCATTAAACCAAACTCCCCATCTCTTCTCTTCATAGCCCCAGGGGACTCTAAACTACTTTAAAAAAAAAAAAGAATCACTTATTTAATTCAATTTATCATCATTATTATTACCCAATTTGAGCAGAGAGAGAACAGGATAGTGAGAAAGCAAGCTGCCAAGTCCAGGACTTGAACTGCAGTCGACCATGTGGGAGAACAGCAACTTTAACCAGCCACCTGCTGACTCTGTCTAAGCTACGTCCTGCGTCCATGAATTTGCCTAGTCTAGGTCCCTTCTCGAAGTGAAATCATACGATACTTATTCCGTCTGGCTTAATTCACTTAGCATGTTTTTAAAGTTCATCCATGTTGTAGCATGTATATGAAATTTTTTTTTTAGTTTGTTATAGGGCGCATGCACTCGCCAAAGAGAGAGAGAAAGATAAATCACCCTCCAGGGGGATGGCCGTGCCACAATCCCTTCTCCATTCTCATCTTGGGATTTTTTGTCCCATACACACATGTACCTGGCGAGTTTTTCAAGCCTTTGAGACTGGGGCTCAAACTACAAAGTCAGCTATGTGGGGTCCAGTCACCTTACCTTCCACACCACCGGTTGTCCCCCGAATTTAATTCTTTTGAACTTGAGTAATACCCAGCAGGTGTGGTTTTCTCTACCTTGGTCTTGGGGTCACTCCAGAGAGTGACTGTCACTAGCTCTGCCCTGCTAGGGGATGTTTCCGGTGTGCCCTTCATAAGCCGTTTCTGCATCCCGTCAGGTGGCCTGAAGTCGATGTGCTCGACCTGTGACCAAGTGTCCCTTGCACAACATATTGTTGATGCTGGCAGATGTCCTCAAGGCTCTTCTCTGACCTGCGTCCAGTTTTTTCTGCCACTCTGTAGGACGGTCCCAACTGGAGTGAAGTCAGGATCAGGTGAGACACGGAGGAGGCAGCTCAACCTAACACATGGAATAACAGAAGCCCTGTGTCCCAGATCCCAGAGACGGGAGGGCAGCTGCCTCCCAGGGCTGATGGGAAGGGGTGAGCTGTGAGGGGCCCTCACCGGCGGGCAGCCGAGCGAGCTAGAGAGGAGCAGTGGGGAAGCGCCTTCACGGGGGCTTAGGACATTGCCCACGCAGGGGGCCCACAGAGTTCTAGTTGGTGGGCTAAAGCAGCAGAGTACCATGGCGCCACCATGACAGAGAAGTGTCACCATGGCATATCCGGGTCTGTGTGGGGTGTAGGGTCAGGGACAAGTC